CCTGTACTATAGATTCTAGAACAATTGTTTTTTAATTTTTTAAGTTTGGCCAGTCTTAAACATGTGTTTAAGACCTGCTCAGGGGAATGGATGCGACTAATGCCCGAGCCACAGGCTCAGCAGGCATTATCAAATATTTATACACAGTCAAGTTATCAGAGGTCATATGATGCAGGCCATTATCTTTAGAACCATTAGTCTGAAACTTAGTATGGACTTAAAGAAGGATGTGTAGTAGGGGAAAATTAAACGAAACACGTTTTAACTTTCCATAACCAAAGAATGTTCAGTCCTGTTTGGTTCAGTTCTTCACAAGTTCAATAACATTAGGCCTGTGCCAGGTACCCGGGTACCCACCTATCATTATCAAAACCCAGTTTAATTTTGTTCAGGCTGGGTACCCATAAAAAAGACAATGTATGTGAACTGTAATAGTGAAGGGAAGAATTGCTAAAATATCATTGTGCTGCGGAAAAACCTGGTACTACGGTCCGTAACTCTAGTTCAGAAATCGATTGAGTTATTTTTGTTATAAGTTAAAGATGGCACTTTTATTTATAATAAAAAGGTTGGGGAGATTTTCCTCTAACCCTAGTGAAAATGTCCAATTCTTTTACCTATTTAGACCAATTCACTTACCCATTGGATCCAATTCACTTTCCCATTGGATCCAATTCACATACCAATCGGATCCAATTCATTTATCGATTCAAAAACCAATTGCTTTTGCTTGGAATCAATTGGATTCCAATTGGGTTCAATTGATTTGAATAGTAAATTTGGACCTTTTCTCATTTGGACCATTTCAAACTAACTTGCACCATTTGAATGCCAATTCACACTCCAATTCTAACCAACCAAAGAACCAATTGAAACCATTTCAATACCAATTCAAACCAATTGAGTCCTATTTGAAAAATCCATTTGATGGGGGAAACAAGCTGAAAGCAAACCAATTAGAACTAGTTGCATCCCATTTGAAGTAAACAGTTGATCGAGGAAAACAAATTGATAGAAAGCATACCGGTTTGAACCATTTGATTCCCATTTGAAATTCAATTTGATTGGGGAAAATAAATAGCAAAGAAAAAAATGCAATTGAAACTAATTGCATCCCATTTAAAATCTCCAACTGATGGGGTAAAACAAAAGGGAGAGAAAACATACCAACTGAAACCAATTGAGCACCAATTGATTGCCAGTTTGACCCAATTCATTCCAATCAAATCCAATTCAAAAATCAATTGGTTTGAATAGGCCATTTGTAGTAGGGAATATTTAGAACAGTTTGCTGCATACAAAGTATGAAAAAAGAGCCATGATCCAGGCACATAGTCGACTGGCAGGCCCATAGCCGGGGGGGGGGGTTGAGGGGTTCAAACGAACCCCCCCACTCCCTTCTGAGTTCCACATGTTTGTGGTCTTTTTTTGTGTACTGAATATTTCAAATATACTGTAATATTCGGCATACAAGCCACGGCTTATACATTGATTCTCAAGCTCAAGGTGACCACGATTCTGCATATTAATGAGTCAATCTCCAGTCATATGTACTGTCGGGAAGTTCCGGCAAATATCCACATTTCAGGTCTTTCAGAGGGTTTGAAATCAATGTATTTTGGTTAAGTTTATTCAATATTGAGAACTGCAGTGTATACACTGTAGTTCTCAATATTGAATAAACTATAAACTATACATGACTTACATGCAACTTTTGGTTCGCGACAGACATGCAACTTTTCAATGCTGTTTTCCACAGCACATTGTAATAGGCCTTTATATAAAAATATGTGTTCACAGTGTAACAAGTTCCTCATTTGCTTTTGACGACACCCCCCAGTCTCTGGTCAGGTAACAGACCTGACTGGGATTAAGTGCAAAGCAGACCTGACCGGGATTAAGTGCAAAGCCGTTTGTTAAGTGTTCTTTATATTTTAAAGGTACCCAGGTACCTGGTATTGACAAAAAATGAGTACCCTGTTCCAAAAATACTCGTAAGCACACACCTCCTATGAAACATCATCTCAAAGGTGCATACTATTTTTATTATTATTTGGTTTATTTCATTTTTTTTGTGGCCTAGAGGCCAAATTGCAAGAATGTTAAATTATTACAAAATTTAAAACCATTACAAATACAAACAAATATGAATAAAGATTATAACAGTTCCAAGACGAAGTTTTGATGGATTAATTACATACAATATAAAAATTAACATAACATAACACATGAATAAGTAAATAGAAGATATAAATAAGAATAGCCCAGTTACGATATGTAAAAATTGTATAAAAACTTGTGTCTAAGTACGGAAGCAAGAAAAACAAAAATAAAGAACTTTTGAGTCCTAGCTGGTTCAGTTTTTGTATGAGACAGTGATGTGTTATAGATGATAATTAAGGTCACTTAATATTGATGACATCATATAACGTCATTTTAAAAGGTACGTACTTTAATGTCCAATAACAAGAGAACCTTCAGTCCTATGTGATTAAATTTTTTTGTGTGTATGTGACAAGGATTTGTTATATATGAAAATTGAGATCATGTTATGGTGACGTTACACGGGCTACTTGACATTACCTTGAAAGTGCATTCTTAAATATCTTAAAAAACTGTTTGTCCGATTGGGTTCACACTTGATATGTAGGTAGACTGGGATATTTGGTTTCATTGAGTTAAGATAATTGTGCCCTCATTGAGGGTCACTTGAAGTGATCTTGAAGGTGTACATTTTAAAGTCCTGTAACTACATGTTGAAAAACCATAATTCTAGTTGAGTTCAATCTTTGCATGCAGGTAAAACATGATGTATTACAGATGAGAATTGGGTTGACACCATGATAATTTCATAACTGGTCATGTGACGCCATCTTAAAGGTGCACATTGTAAAGTCGTATAACTAGAGGACTGTAGATCTAACTGGGTTCATTCTCGGTATGTGGGTTGGCAGGGCTGTGTTAGAGGAGAAACTGAGGATGTTATTGTCCTGACCATTGGATGACCATAGAGCAATGTTATATTTACCATGTGTTGGGTAGGAAGGTCCACCAAATGTAGTTACGGATAAAAGGGGCTGGGCAAGACAGTGATAGACAATACAAACTTTGAGACAGGAGTCAGGTATATCCCACTACACGGGAGAATAGTTAAAACAATTAAAGATTTGCTCCAAAAATTGAACATTGATAGAGACAAAAATGAATACGGAATTTGACAAACAGTTCCCTGCTATGGACAGTGATGATATGCAGTGACTTTCACATTCACAATACCAGATGATATATTGGAAACCCCTGTGAATATCTGAATTTATAAAATATAATTTATTAAAGTTCAGTTAAGTTCAGTTCAACTAAGTTGGCACACCAAACGCCAGTTTGAAGACTGGTCTGGAAAGGGAAGAAAGTGCACCTATGCACATTATAAGACGGTGCATCACAGATGGTATCGCGCGGCAACGGAAAGTCGAGTTATAAAGTTTGTTTTCTCCACTGCCCTTAAAAAGCACCAGACATATTCTCACAAAACAGTAATCAATTATACAACCATAAATTTGCAGTTTCCAGATCAAAGGTAGTATTAAACATATGTTTCTTGCTGAACGGACTATGTTAATTACCAGAGGATGTTTATAAATGATGTAATTGTTTTGATTGAGTGATTATGCTTGTAACCCAAATTAGCCAAAGCTACAGGATGAATGGAAAGCCAAACTGCGCTGGCTCTTACATTATGATGACCTTATCCTTCAATTTTGTGGACTTTTATTTTCTTTCCTACAAATCTCACGGTCGTGTTAACAGTTAACAGCTTTTAGTCTACATGCCTTGTCCACCTCAAGCAGATGCATCCCCATCAGATGTAAAGGGCCTTATTGGGCAGGAGTGTTCATTTTGTTGGTAGCAACGCAACCATAACACGGCATTTCCTAGTTCTTTGTAAACCAGCAAAGTTCAGTTCCAACCAAAGGAGCCTCCATTGCTAAGAAAACACCACCCTCTCTTGGTCCAACTTGAGGCTTTCAGCTTGTAAATGCTTGTATTTCAAATGCATTTTTTTCTCAAAATTTACAAATGCAGAAAAGTTTTTTTTTTTGTTGCAAACAGACAAAATGTCTCTTGTTTCTTTTTTTTTTCCTTTTTTACTCCAAACCGTTTAACATTTCTAACACTTAAATAGAGTACCAAAGTGTTACATCATTTTGAACCAGGAAGTGCAGTGAAAAGGAGTGCTTACGCATGTTGGTTCAAATACTGGTTCTCACTCTAATACCAATACACACATGTATTCACTTCACTACTCTTTACTGACCACTCAGGTACACCAATCATCTCCCTTGGTTCCCAAAGTTTTTGTACATTTTATCAAACATCGCAAACTTGCTTAAAATAAAAACACTCATTTAAACCTGATTATAATAACTCAAAAGGTTAGGGAAATCGTGAAACAATAGCCAATATGTGACACTGTCTATTTCATTCATGGGGAGCTTAATTTGCACATGTATGTCTATGTGTGCACAGGCAGCTATATAGACCGGCTGTCAAGCACTATATGCAATACTAGCAACTCAGGAGCAGAAAACTTTGCTTAATAATCACAATAAGCCAGGAGATCTGAACCCCAAAATCACCAAAGCAGAAAATAAATATGCGGATAGACTCTAGCATTTGTTACTTAAATCTACGGTGGCTAGTATTCACCAATTTGTTCTGCATGACCCTTTTTCTTTCGGCATTATATCGTCGTACTATAGTGTTGTATTGCCACACTATTGCATTATAACGCTGTACTATTGCGCTATAATGCCATATTGTTGCGTTATATCACAGTATTTATGGCATTATATCGCCGTACTATTGCATTATATTGTATTTATGGCGTTATGTCACCATACTATAGCGTTATATTGCTGTATTATTGCGTTGCTGAAAATTAACAGCGAGACTGTCATCGCCATTAATGCTGATCTGCATTTGATACACTGTCACTGCAGTTAAGCCAGATTTAAGTCAACAAAAGCCCTGACGAGTGCGACGTGGAGGCCAAAACCTACAGTGGGAAACGGTAAGCATTTGTGCAATGGTGTGGAGTCTGATTTACCCTTGTATAAATTGTTCATTTACAGCTAAATTTGCTTAGACTGGACTTTCATTATGCAGCATTACGATACTATTGAAGGCCTATGCAAGAACAGGTATCTACTTACAGGCAAAAACCATACGTTTTATTGGCACACAGTACGGTGTACTGTCGACCCAGCAGGAAATCTGTGCATGCCAACAGCAAGTACAAGTTAGGGTTCAATTTCCGAAATAAAAAGAATGTTTGACCCAGCAATTGGAAAAATGTGGGGAGCAAAGACACCATATTCCACTAGAGGGAGCTGTTCATGATAAACATGTGCATGTGTTTGTTTGGCTGGAAATTCCAGAAAATGACGTTTTGAACTGTTAACTTGAACTACATGTATTTTAAAGTTTAGTTGTTGAAAAGAAATTAATGTCATACCAAGAAAAGATGAAATGCATATTTTTAGGCCTACTTCAGACGTGACGAAGTACGCATAGAAATTTTCTTTTCATTTTCACTACATGTATGATAACATTGTGTGTTTCATAAATTACACACAACACCAACACTCAAAAGTCGGGGACGCCAAAGAAATATTTCAATTGAAGAGCCACAGTTTTCTTCTTGAAAAAGGACTTATTCTACATGTATTAAAACATCTCGCTGGTCAAAAATGCATTTATGATCAAACCAATCCTTTCAATGAGTTTGTTCACATATGAAAATAATAGCATCTTTTATTTAGATGTCACTAAATATGTAAGTTAAACTGGATCAGACCTTTCATTCCATAGATATAGATCCAATCAAAATGCCCCTCTAATGTGAGGTCACATGGCATGTGATCCTGATGTCACTTAAAGTTTACATCCATATGTTTCTTTATCTGAACCAACTAACGATTCAACCTACTCGGACTTGAACTTCAGAACATACAGGCTTTGAAAAATGCACCTTTAATGTGATGTACCTGATGACACTATAGTGACAAGAATCATTGGGACCATTGGGGGATGTTTGTCTATGTGTGTACATACATAAATCTGAAGTCAATCCAGGGTGGATCTAGGAATTTTAGAGGGGGTCAGGCCCGATCATTTTTATGGGAGGTGAGGGTTAACAAAATCCAAAGAACCCCAAGCAACCCCAAACATGAGTCCCAACCCCCAATGCTCTATCAGCAGTCCAATTTTTTTTTGTAACTTAAGTTTAAAGTTTCTATATAACCAAAGTTTGTTTTGATCATTTGTAGATTTCCATGTGGTAAATGACTCTAGCCTATTATCATTTTTATGTGCAAAACGTTTCATTCTGCATTTTGTATATAATTGAAGACAAATGGAAAACATCCACTGTATAAGTAAAATTGGCGTACCCCAATATTCAATATTGCGTTTCATAAATCTCTGGTAAGAACAATATGAGAACCATCGGAACAAAGATGGCTTGAAGTGATGTCGATACTTTGAGCTCATAGTAAAACTATCAGGTCTTGACTGAGTGGTAGAGGCTAGCACTTTGACAGGATAGGTCCTTTAACTTTTTCAAGTACTACTAGAAATATTTATTGCGTGTGGCCTGGCGGGACACATATGGTATGAGTTGGGGTCTGTGTGGGTCGAATGTACGGGTTATATGTGTGACTGAAAGTAGGATTGACTCCGAGGAAGATTTTGGGGAAAATGACTAAGTTGGAAGTGTGCTTTGGAGTTGCGGTTCAACGGCATGTTGCAGCAAAGAGCAACAGGGTCGCGCATGGAATGCAATGCGCTGTGGACAGTGCATGTAATCTACATGTAGATGGTCATTGCACGCTCGCTGTGGGGTAAGTGGTATGTGTAGTAGTGTGTACACTATAATCTGCATGCGTTCACTAGGGGAACAGTTTGTGGGAGCATAAGAATGCTATACTACCATAGATTTGTCATGCCAGAGTCATGCTCTAATGGAAGTGTGCCTTTTAGTCCTTTATGTTTAGACAGAACATGAGCCTGTATTAATTCACAGGATCATGCTAAAGCTCTTTGTAGGTGTCGTCTTAGATCAATGTACAGATGGACAGCCTCTTCTGGAGTATCAGGGGCCCTGCGTCCAGTGGCTTCCATCAGTAAACATGCATAGTTGAAGAGGTCCTCATCGCAAGGATAGATGTTTTTGAAGAGGGATTCCTCCCTGCACACATTCACTCTATCTTGATCCACTGTTTCAGGAAGTCCATGGTGTTGTACAACTGTGGAAGTTCAAATATGGTCAGGGGTCAGCCATCTGCTACATGTTCTTGTTTATTGTTCCTAATCCTGTGTCCATCCCACAGTTCCGCCATTTTGTCCAGATCATCCTGTAAATTAGAAGTAACTTTGAATAAACAAATAATTTGAATCCTTTGAGTCGAAGAAAAGTTGATGAACTCTTAAGAGAAATGACTTGGATTGACATTTACATTGAAACATGGATTGACCAATGGTCATGTTGCCAAACCATCCTATAGTGCGGATCATAATACGTATATGTATTACATGTGTATGTATTACATACATACCTGTATCATTCTCATGAATATGAATCGAATCAGCTCTTTGTCCAAACTGTCTCCCGAGAAGTAACCGTCATCCTTTATGTATGGAAATAAAGTCAACCGGAACTCTGTGCATTCTTTCCTCAGCTGATTTCACCAGCACTCGATGCACTTGTTAGCAGTACTCTTCCAAGTAATGAAGCTATGCTACCGCTAAGCCGATCCCCATGGAACTTTAGGTCCATGTCCATTCTCCGTCCCAAGATCAGTCCTAACAAAAGTTGGGTGGTCACGGTATGTTTCGATGGCATTGATGAAAAAGCTACCAATAAATTGAGGGTCATTTGTAGTGGCGTTTACTTCCAACCATATTATTTTTCGGGAGAAACTATCAATACACTCACTGATGCCCACTTCGCATAGCTTGAGTTTGTCATATGAGTCTATGTGCCAAATAAAATTCCTCGCCCGTATCTGTAATGCGCAAGCCGACACCTTTTTGTAGTGCAACACCCTCTGGATCAAGATGGAGTAACAATCTCCGTACTCTATGTCTGCCTACAACGAAACCCTCCTGAAGTAATCTGTAATGCATAAACCTGTGGCCGTGCAGCTGACCAGATTGCTGAAGCTGTTCTTGAAGGAACCTTACAATGTCCGCTAAGTCAGATTGATTCTTCCGACAATACAATCCAAGATGCCGCAGGTGTCACTGTGGGTGCGCTCACTCAGTGCAATGCCATGGACTGTTGCTAAAGTTGCAGCAACTTCAAGATGGGTGTGGCCAAGTTTGAAGTAATGCATGATTAGGCCACCAATGTCCATGATGCCTAAAACTGCAAAATAAATATAGAGCAAAATATTTTTATTAAGTTTGTGCATTATAGTGTAAATGTAAGTTCTTTATTTGCAATTTGAATACTTACAACACTTTCAGAATTGTGCACATTTCATTTTACAAACTTACATGTACTAAAGTAGCCCTTTCAATGGACACTCCGTCCTGGAATACGCCCAACTGGGCTACAAAACCATTTCAATGAAACCATGTTAACCCCTTCTCAACGTGAATTTCTTTCCGAAAGTTGACTCCAAGAATTCCAGCCTCGCTTGGCCACGAAGGCCACCTGCCAAACCACAAATTCTCAGTTTGTGGCCCGGCGTGCTCTGCATGCTTTGAATTACAAGGTGAAAAGGCTGATTGTTTGGTGGCATGCGGCTCTACTCATGCTTCCACATTCCCGTTGCCTCTTTTCAAAGTGGGGACTATTGTGAAGCTGGTGATTATGATGTAAATTTGGTCTTTCCATTTCTGGGTTACACACAAAGACCAATTACCATGTACACAAGAGCCAGGGTCTGCATTCTTTCACCGTTGCTCAAGTGTGGGCCGAGAATAATAGCTGAAAAGCAGGCTGAGGATCTCAATTTTTACGGCGTGTCTTAACGCGTCCTGGCATGAAGGGGTTAATCAGAAAGAGCATTTAAATGTAGCATAGAAACATCTACACAATTACATCTTTTGAAACTTTGCATTTTGTTGGGCTTGTTACACAGGCGTGAGAATTAAGTTATGGCTTCAATTATTGAAGCCCTACAATCGAGCAGTTTGGGTTTTAGTTTTATTCCAGTAGCATAGGTTTCTTTAAAATGTTTTACAATCTCCAACCAAGAAACGCAGGTAATTAAATCTTACTGTCTAGACAGAAAGTGGTATGAAAACAAATGAAAGAGCCACCAACAAGGGTAAGGAGCAGGAAATGACTTTCACAAGTTTCACTAGGCCAATTACAAGAAATGCAAAATTACATGTTGGCTGGAAATTCAAGTATGGATATCACTGCCTCATTTTCTCTAGAACGGTTTCTTTTCAACAAAATGATTGAAATAGGATGTGTAAACAACCCAAAACATGACATTTAGGGGGATTTCAGGAAGTCTACATTTAACAAGGGGCCCTGCAGGAGGTGGCATGGAAGTGATGCTTGATGTAGAAATAAATATTAACGTTTCATAATACACCAGGCAATCAAATTTCTACAAAAAATGTATTACATATTTTGATAAAGGCATGCTTCAGTTACCAAATACATGGTGTAAACTTACCTAAAGGTAGGAGAGGTAGTCTAGCATGGCATTCGTAGCCTTCCCCGTCTAGATGCACTGCTTTGGTTGTTTCCTTTAATTGCATGTTTCAGGGAATAAAGTATGGCGATTAACGCAAGAGTATGGCATTATAACGTAACAGTAGGGCATTATAATGCAATAGTACAGTGTTATAACACAATAGTACAGAGATATGATGCAACAGTTGGCCTTTGTAATGCTACAGTATGGCATTATAACGCAATAGTACAGGGATACAAGGCAATAATACTGCAACACAACGCTATATAGTATGGCAATATAACGCAATAGTACAGCATTATAATACAATAGTATAGAATTATAATGCAATACTATGGTGATATAACGCTAAAGTATGGCAATATAATGCCGAAAGAAAAAGGGTCATGCGCAAGGAGTTGGCGAATATGAGCCACTGTATAAATCACAGAAATCTTGGATAAGTATCTTGCTTAGTTGATCCTTTTAACAAATGCTTCCCTAACATTTCATTGTCAACCTTCAGTGCTAATGTATTAATATGATTCCTGGCACAGCCCATTTGTTAAAGTGAGATTTTACCAGGAGGAACCATTGTACTGGATGTCGCACGAAATTTTTAAGTAAATGACTTTATTTTAGTTCAGAATTCTACTTCTAGTGAGGACCACCCCAATGGTGAAATAAAGGAGATGAACATACATATTAAAAAATGTGGTAATTTTAGTGTTTTTATTTCATTTTGCATGAAAGTGTTGGCCCATAATTCTTTCACTGAAACATTCGTGGGGCAGGCCACATTTGAATTGGCCGGAGTTCAGAACTAAAATAGCTATTAATTTTTAATCTTTGGAAATCCATATTAACAATCAAAATCAATTGTGAGCTGTTTTCATATCAATTGTGAGCTTTTTGGGAAAGTGATAGAGTAAATTAAGGTCTAAACTGAAAGTACCTTATCAGTTAAAATCGGTAAAAGATATGAATTTGCTTTCAACAGTCTCCAGTCAGATAGCATTCTCCAAAAACTTGGACCAGTGATTGCATGAAATACTCGAGCTCTCTCTGGCAACAGGTTGAAAAAGCTCAAAAATGTATTTTGAGTTGATGGCTGTGGCAAAGTTACATGTGATTTCTTGAAATTTGAAGATATAATAACTTTCATACATACAATTAACACATCTGAAACTTCATGCTAATAACATCATCAGATCAAAAGTTATAACAAATGACCTTTACTTTTTCAGAAATCGCTAAAGAATAAATCCTGTTAGGTATAATTTTGAATTGCCCATCAAATGAAAGGGTAAATATTGGTGTTACTTGTCCAAGGTCATAAGGCTTGCCTAATTGTTCATTCGCACGGCCCGCCAATAATGAAAAGCCATCATTGTAGTCGTTGATTCCCATTTGATGCCTGTAATGCTATCCCTGTAAACCCATAGGCTTTGTGCATGCCTTTGTATTTTGCGCATACCACAGAATAACCAAACTTTCAATTGAGATGAGTGTGTATGCTTTTTGATCTGGGCTAGCAATTTCACTTTCAATGTCAAGTCAGTGCATGGTCCAGCGATAGTGCTAGGTTGCTCAGAGACCTGAGTTGTATTACGAGCTATCATCTTCAATTTTTTTTCTTCACCTCGAGAAACTATTCTTTCTCAAAGATCCTTTGGCATGTATACATGTGCCTGTTGAGCACCTACATTTGACTGAAGTTACGTTGTAATGTGGCGACATTTGCTTTTTACATTGCTGATGACTTACTGCCAGTGATTATATAATTGCAACTAAAATTGTTAAACAGATTTTTAGAGTTAGGACTGGTGGAATAAGGGGGAGAGTTAGTTGGTTGTAAATTGTGTAAAATAATTGAGTAAAACATACAAGAGTGAGGGTTATTTGCATCAGATCAAGAGAAATGTCATGACCTTTCCAGACAAGAATGCATAGTTCCGGCAAGACAGTTTATCGGTTTGCACAAGAATAATATTCTATATATAATCTATATCTGCTCTGGCGCATATTCGGGTACATAACTCGAATGTGTCAAGTCAACCACATTTGGTCTTGTTTCCCTATGCCCTTCTCTTAACACGGGGCAGAGCTATTGGCCAACTTGACGCGTCGCATTTATTTTGTTTTGCATCAGGTCGTACATGTGTAATAATTTCTATAGTGAACTGTGAATTTCGAAAGAATGTCGATACTCTGTGTTGTTGGTGGCTGTTGTCACAATCAAAACAATTCCCTGGAGAGCAGTTTGTTAAATTCCCAAAAGAGTCACACCAGCGTGTGTAGGTTAGATTTGTGGATAACACACAATTAGATTTTTATGAGGACTCAAAATTCCAAAAAACTTGTGCATGTTTATATGTATGTAAAGTAGCTCTTGAAGGTTTGCATGGTGGAATACAATAAGGTAGAGGGTTTGCGGATACACCATGTCTCTTTTGAGTATGTGTGGTTCTGAAAAGAACCGGTTACTCAATTGTTTCAGACAGTGAGTGCTCTGTCCATCTTCAGGACGTATGCGATCCAACTGTGCTGCTGCTTATATGCTGTGGGTGATCACTGAGGCATGGGAATTGGGATTCAAGCAATCTGGGTACTGGGGCGTGAAGGCGAGAACTGTGTTGAGAGCTGCTGTGACTGCTCACTGGCACTTGTCAGTTGGTGTTGGGGTGCTGAGTGCCGGATATAGGGGACCCATGTGGCACAAAGGTTAGGAGTCCGTGGGTATAGGGGACCCGTTTGACAGGAGGGGGCACCAAATATCACTGATGTTGTAGCCGATGTCTTGGGGGACCGTCTTGTTCTTGAAGATGTCAATGGCCTCGCGAATACGTGGGGGGGGCATTGCTCGATGCTGGCGATGAGATGTGCTTCATGCCATTTGATAGCATGGTCTATTTCATGTGAATGTTTCACAATGGATGACTTCTTGTAGTCTCCCCGTCATCTATGTGCTTGGTGTTCGTTGAGTCTAGTGGTTAGATCCCTGCCTGTCTCTCCGCTGTACACTTGACCGCATTCACAGGGGATCTTGTAGACGCCGGGTCTAGACTTGAGGTCTTGTGGAGTGATTACAGGAGGTTTCTGATCTTGCTGGGTACCATGTGGAACACTCTGATGCCCTGTCTCTGGAGGATGCGCTGGATTTGGTGGGAAGTGGGACCTAGGTATGGGAGGGTGACTGAACTATTGTGTGTGTGGGGTTTACCAAGGGTATAGGGGACCCATCAGTTGGGGCGAGGTGTAGGTTGCTGGGTCTTGACTTGACTCTTCTTGAATCCGTTCCGCTGGAGTGCCTTGGAGATGTGGTGGAGCTCATTGTTCAGGTTGCGCTGGTCACATACGTTGTATGCCCGGTGTACGAGGGTGATGTTGACCGAGTTCTTGATCTTGAGGTTGTGAAAGGAGCACTGATGGAGGTACCAGTCTGTGTGGATGGGTTTCCGTTAAACCTTGGGGGAGAGGGTGCCCTCAGGTTGTCTGTACACGTATGTACATGTCCCAGTACTGACATTTACATGTACCTCACCAACTCCTTCAATGTCACTTTCTTCGTCAAATGAATGAGACAAACAAAACATGACAAGTGATCGCTGTCATGATTGAAAAAAGCATCAGCTGAAATTATCGTTTGAGTCTGACATGATTGCACATGCTAACGCTACTACTTTACGTACACGTTGAGGCGTCATTGCATAACAGTAAACAGTCACCGGATGAAGGACTCTGTCCTATGACATCACGATTCTTGGGAATTTCTTCAGACAACTTTTTGTACCCGACGGCTGTTATTTAGTTTTTGCTCCCATAAGGGAGTGAAATAGTGTCGTGAAAACAATAATTTTTAACACATTTCTGCGCATTTGAAATTATGCAGATGTGTTTTCTTGTTATATATATGTTTGTTTTATGTATTCATGCATGTTTTACAAGAAATCTTTCCAGCAAGGGCCCATCCCCTTGAAGGATGAGCTTTAATTCAATAAGACACCTGCCTATC